GATGGGATAGAAACTTGTATGATCTGTTTGCCAGCATTTGATAAAGCTTTGTTTACTCACAAGAAAGCCGAAGTAGTTTGGATTCCCCCTTTCAGCAGATAATCCCCTCTGAGGTGTTTTACAGTAAATAAACTGCGGGGCTGGGACAGGACACTTCATCCCCCTCTTCTGGGACACTGCCCTGCTCATGGCTAAAAAGGGAGTCATTGTCACCACTGAATCACTGGGTGTTCCTACTTCATTCCTTATTTTCCTTTCACTTCATCATCAAAGTGAGATTTGTTTTTACTGCAGACTGCCTTTCCCTTGACGGGACTGATCTCCTTTCAAAAGTAATCCAGAGGCCAATAACAAATGTTATGGATGCCTCATCCATCGCTGTCACCCCATGGCAGGCACAGAGAGACAAATGTCCCTTTCAGAAGGGTCCAGCTGATGTTCCCCAGCACACACTGCTCATTTCAGTGTTCTCAGGAGGAGCAAATGCTGAGAAGGTCTTGGCACACAGAGGCAGAAGCTGCTTATCTGTGCTCAAATAGAACTTACAGGCTGATATTTGAGGTTATTATCCTAGAGAGGATCTTTGGGATCATCCAGCCTCGTCCAGTGCTGCTGCTCAGAGGTTCAGGGGGTTTGTTGTAGGTTTTTTAAAATGTTACATGCCAGCAAAATTCAGCACAGCAAAGTGAGCCCTGTGCAGTCATCTCTGACTGGAGCCAAGTTAACCCAGCACAGAAAACTTCTGAAACTCAGCTTGAGGAGCTGTCAGGAGCCCCTTGAGCAGCTCTGGGGTGTTTAACAGTGATGCTCTGTTCCAGCAGCCTGAGTGCTCCCAGCAAGGAGAGCAAGGAGGTCACTGCAGCTTCATCTGCTGGCACATCTTAGTCACTTACTGTAATCTGCTGAAACAACACCTCAGCAGCTCTAGATCTGCACCTCGGGGAATAAATTAGGAGTGCATTTCATCTTCACTCTCCACTGCCTTGTTTTTGTGACTGTAAAACGCCCTGGCCGCTGGAGCAGAGCGCTGGGTGGATGTGGTTGGGTGTGTAATGCGCTGAGGAGGGACACAGCGAGCTCCGTGTGCTCTTCCCGTGAGGGTGAGCATGCTGTCATGCTCCAGCCTCTTCCTCAGAAACTGATCCAAGGAAATGCTTCATGGGGGTGAAGCAGGAGCTCCTGGAAAATAAAGGGAATTTGGGTTATTATTGTTTTTAATTGGGCCGTAGTCATTCGGTCCATTTCTCATCCCTGTTGCCTGGAAGTGGAGCAGAGTTTCAGACATCAGCAACAGATTTTAATTTAAACTTTTTGCCAACTTTATGTTTTCTTATGCAATTTACTTTTTAAAATGAAGAGCACATGTTTTCCTTCCAAATAACACGCAGTACATTTATTGGCATTTTAAATAGGCCAAAGTGAATGACCAACCTTCTTCTTTTTCTTTCAAGTCTATTTTTTCCCTGCAGGCAAATTGCTGTGGGCTTATGACCCACCCTTTTTATGACACTATTTCAGCACAGATATTCTTAGTTAGAATTCTAAGTTATTTCTTTGAAACAGAAATAGAAATCACCACCTTGGCCAGCAGTTTCTTCATCTAAGGGACATACAAATATGTCATCTAAACCTTTATGAGATCTGTCACACAGTTTATGTATTTTTGTTCCATTTGGGAAACTGTGTGAGCTGGTGTTGTCCTTCTGTTTGTTGTCCTGGATGTGAACTAATGGTCTTTTTACCAAATGCTCCCTTGTTTGGGGCATGGTCCTGTGGCATGGCCATCCTGGGAATTGATACAAACTTCTGCATCCTTTCTAAAATAGATACAGATCTCTCTTATTTCATGTGCTCTTACCCACACCACCAAAATAGAGACTACAACACTTCAATCCAGAAAAGGCAGTAAGTGGCAGTAACATTTTGGCTCTGTTACATACTGTCAGCCTTTATTTCTTGTGTTTAATCCTCGTTTAGCACAATAATAATTTGCTTAGATGGGCTGTTTAAGGTGTTTTTTTCTCACAGCAGCTTTTGTACTTGAGCAGTTGTTTGGACCATGCAAACCATTTGGTTCCCAAACAGAGATTTGGGCAGCCAGAGGAGACTTTGAGAAGCCAAGACTGAGAAAGAGGACTCAGTGTTGCAAAGAAACCTTCCTGCCTTTGGATCTCCAGCCTGAGAAGTGAGATTTTGTAACTGCAGCTTTTCTTTTCCCACAGAATCATTAAGAAAAGACAGTTGCTCATAAGTTTTGTATTTCATGGATTTTTTGCAACTGAGAATTAAGTCATCTTGGGGCTTTTTTTTATTTTTTCCCCTAATTTGCCTACATTTAAGTCTAATAATAGTTTATTAAACCTGGCATGTGGAATAGCAGAGTGCTGGAAAGTTTGGGATTCATTTCCTGCAGCAGTGGGTAGATATCCGTGTCACACAAAGTTGTCTCAGGCGCTGAGTTGGGCGTAAGCTGCTTCTGCCACTGACTTTGTTTATGGGAAAAACTAATCTGGCTGTGAGAACTGGACTTATTTGAAAGTAATTGACAAGAACTGTGTCTGTGATCCCCAATATAAGCTTTTTCCAGTCACTTTGGAGAGATTAGATGTCTCTTAACATCATCTTACTCGCGGTGAAGTTGCTCCAAAGGGACTCCTTTAATCATATTAGTTTCGCTGCCATCACCCCGTCTTCAGAGTCTTTCTTCTTCCCTAATAGAACCAAATCTGCTTTTGCCATCTATTAGGTCCAACATTAATAATCCTTTGCATATTAATTGCTGTTGCTTTACCTATAACATTCAGCTCACTCTCAGCTGTCCCCAGTTTTGAATCTGAAGGCTGGGAGCTGTTACTTTTTCCTTACAGAAAACACTGGATTGTGTTTCATTTTCTAATGACTTTGTATAAGAACCATTGAATAAAGAAGGAAGTAAAGCTTAAAAAGTGTAACAGGAATTCACCCAGTCTTTATTTTGGCTTGTAGTATCATTTGTGAATGAATTTTTGTTGTGTTATAAAAAGATAGGCCTGATTTCTTATCCTAAATATTTTAACAAACTTTTTAGGGAACTTCTGAGTAATGTAATTTCTTAGTTTCACTTATGTGTGTGTGTTGGGGGTGTAATTAAAATAAGGGGTTTTTTTTTAAAACAGAAAGGAGAAAAAAACAAAAAGAGGAAAGTAGGGGAATGAGCTTTTAGAAAGAACTCTGAGAGATGAAGAGATAATTGTGGCTATTTTAGGCAGAACTCGCACTGGGGCAGCTGTTAAAAACCCCAAATTCTCCGTGTGTCAGTTTGGAACGCAGACCATATCACCCAGCAGCAATTGCAGCTCTTATCTTCATGGAGTTAGTGCTGCTTTGCTTAAGGAAAAGCCAGGCAGGCTGTCATGTTCTTGTGATCTGGAGATGAAATCATTTTCCGAAAGAATTATAAAAGTACATTGCGGATTATAATTATACACTGAAATGTATTTTATGTTTTTATTCTGTATACAGATTTAATAAGAAATTAAACATGTGTAGAGGAAAAACTCAGGAAAGGAAGGAAAGGATCTAGCACAGATTACAGTATATGAAACATATGCTTGAGATAATGCTGATAGGGCTGAAATATGTGGCCTGTGGTGGAGTTCTGTATACAAATGACGTTCTCATTCCTTCTCCACACACACTCTCTTACCTTTGACATAGTAGGGACTGATGCCAGTGAGTAATTAAGAAAGCATGGAAGCAAAATAAGTTTCTGAGATGGTTGATATTATTTAATACATGCTACAGCTGGGATAGCTGAAGGACAAACTGAAGGTTTGAAGGGAGACAATGTCTTTTATTACACCATATAGTCTAAATAGCTTGGAAAATAGGCAAACTTTCAAGTCTTGATTTTTTTTTTTTTTTCCCTTTCTCAGATCACAGTATTTATAGGAGTCTGTCTTGGGAGATTAATGTAGAAGGCAATAGATCTGATAGTCATTCATGTCCCAACTTTGGTCAGAAACAAATGTTTCCTTTTCAAATTTTTGTAGTAATGTGGTTCTCAGAGGCTGAAAATAAATGGTGTAGTTGAGTACAGAGAGTGTATTAAAAATGTCTGAAGAAGAAAAATAGTAGTTGGAGAGAAACTGGCATTCCAGGACAATGGGAACTTTAAATATACACTGCTTTTCCTCAGATTTTCTTGTGAAACCTTTAATAAGCTTGAGCTGAGTCACCTGCACTTACTTGGTAGAACATCAGTTTCTGCTCTCAGTATTGTCACATCCTCTCTGAAAGAATTCCAGGCAACTGCAAAGTTTCTTGTGGAATAAGGAGAAATTCTGTGTGAGTTTCGTAGTGAAAGTGCTCGTTTTCAAAATTACATTTATGAATGAAAACATGGATGTGCTTTCAGTGTCATCCATCACACTTAGCTGTAAGGACAGTGCTTTATGTCCCAGATGTGATGCTCCTGTTCTCCAGTGAAGAACCCACAGAGGAAATGGACTTAGAAAAGTAACTAGTGAGAGGTACATGTAAGTGTAATCTGAAGTAATGGATGTGTAGCTACTCCTGTGGTAAAGCAGCAGAGTGAATTCTGTGGAATTGGGTGTGACACAGCTTTATTCCTGTCACTTCCATCCCTCCCCCTTTGTGTTTCCCCATTAGGGGCAGCAGTGATTGATAAATGAGTGATGATACTCTGATAGCTCATTAGAAGGCAGCAGATCATTTCTTAAGGACAAAATAGAAGGCATGGGTAGGAAATGTCGTGATTATATGCCCCAAACTCTGTTTCTCCTCCAGAAGAGTCCATCTTACCAGTGCTTTGGGTAGGGGGAGCTGTGTTTATCTGTGTGCAGGAAGAGAAAGGGAAGAGCAAGAAGAGAGGCTGGGAAAAGGGACAGAGCATCCTCTGAGTCTGCTCCTACCCCTGCTGACAGCCTGCTGGAGGAAACCAAGTAGGTTTTGTGTTGTGGGTTTGGGTTTTGTCACTTTGTTTGCTCTTTCTCTCTCAGGTGATCTCAGGCTTGGAGATCCAGATCCGCAAGCTGAGGGAGGAGCTGATCCAGGCGAACGCTCTGCGGAACCATCAGCTGCTGGACCTGAGCCTCCAGCGGGACGAGGAAAAGCTGAAGGCAGCTCGAGACAAGGAGGCAGCACTGAACAGTCTGAAGATGGAGATGGAAAAAGTGATATCAGACATGAAAATGAAGCACACAGCAGAGACAGAGACAGTCTTGAATAAGGTAAGGGATTCGCAAAGAGCAGCTGCGTGGGGTGGAAGGGGAGTGACCACCCCAAAGGTCAGCTGAGCAAAGTTTCCCTAAGAAAAAATGTTTAGGGGTCAGGTGAGTTGAAAAGACAGAAGCAGAGCATGGGATGGCAGAGCCACAGCACGTGTGTGGGGTGTTCTGGGGTTCTGGGATGAAAAGCTTTGCTCTGGACACTCTGGGGCTGGGCAGCACCTCCAGCAGGGATGGAAGGTGCCATGAGGTGCTCAGGAGCCAACAGCACTTCAAAAACACAGGTGATTTCACAGGAAAGCCAGCCAGGAACAGGCTGATCTTCCTCTGTAGAGACTGTGGAAAGGGTGGCTCTGCCTAGCCAAGCTTTTTCTCCCTTAAAAAGAGGGTGAGCTCTTAAGGAGGGAAAAACTCAGGCTCAGGGTGCAAGGAAATTGTGTCTGGTTGCTCACAGTGGCTGCTCTAATTTTGCCTGTGGTGTACATCAAGTGAGAAAGGACTCTGGGTAAGATTTAAAAATATAAATTAATGTTTCAGATTGATCAAGACTTCCCTCCTGTTGTGTTCTGTGAGGTCACTGCCCACGTTCCTGCTTGCTGAGCATCCCTTGGACTCCTGTCTTGAATTCAAATATTCCTCCTATTTAGGAGCTAAAACATGCAAGTTTTATTTCAAAAGCCAAACTAAAAAAAAAAAAACCCTACTTAATATTTATGGTAGACTCTGTGTATGTGTAAGCAGATAGTTGCTGAAGTCTCTTTTATACATTGCATTAAGACACTAAATCACACATTTTCTTGCAAGGGGATGTGCAGTGGCACAAATTAACAATCTGCATGGAGTGTTTGAGCAGCCTTTGTGCAAGTGACATTTCATTTACCTGCGTCAGGTTCTTGGTCTGTAATTTTAAAGAGCATTGGGAGGATTATGCTGGAAATCAGCCAGCCTGAAGCCATTAAAATGGCTGTGATCAACAATTCAGAATCTTTTCTGAATGTACGGAAAGCTCCGCTTGGCATAATTATTTAAAGCCAAGGTCACAGAAAGTATTTAAACCTTTGAAATTCATCATTAAAGGATTAATTTTAACTCAGGAAGACATTGTCATTTTTGCTTAAAAATGGAATTTGAATCTCAATTCTTTTCTTTCTTTGATCTTTTTTTACATGTGTAGTATAGCAAAAGAAAAGTTAACTTCTTTACATCCTCAAATTAAAGTTACAAATAATCCTTCATAGGGCAGTATCTCTAATAGTCTTGAATTGTCATTTCTGTCAGAAATACTGGTTTTCTTTAATTTGTTGGATTTTTTTCTATTTTTCAAAAAATTTGCTAATTTTAAGCTATATTAACTGCTATTGTATTTTTTTTTCTTTAACCCACTTCTCTGTTTTTACCCTAATCTGAAGAGCACATGTTGAGCAAAAGATAGGAGGGGAAAAGTAAAAAATATCTCTGTTGAAAAGTCTTTCACAGACGTGTGAAAATACCTGGCTTTACCTTCAAATCTCCATTCCCCATTCTGCTTCATTTCTGTCTTGCAATTGTAGAACTGTGGAAACTGGCCACAAAATCCAAAACTCAAAGTAGCTTAGAGGGCAAACTCCATTTAAAGCTCGAAAGTAGCAGTTTCAGCTAATTTAGTTCAAATCTTGACCCTAGTCCGTGGAACCTTGATGATTTTATCCAAGGGGGTGAACAGGAGCATCTTAATTGCAGCAGGAGCCTTGAAGCCTTTTTATGAAAATATTTTCTATCAGATTTTGTTACCTGGAAATTTAGGACAATTTGGGAGAAAAAAATTGTTCTCTAAATTTACTTTTTTTGGTGCCAATTCTATGAAGATTGCTTAAAAATCTAATGGCAAACTGAATTTCACAGTTTAGGCGTGGAACATCTGACTGGCCAGATTTTCTGAAGGTCAGTCCATTCTCAAGTGAGGGATCTCATTCCTCTGTGATCTGCTCTGGGAATAATGATGATCTCTGTGGGGATTGCTTTGTGGCATTGTGAATTGTTGTTAACAAAGAAGATCCAGGATTCCTCTGGCATTGCCCTCCCCATCATCCTTGGGGATGAGAAGAGTGAGGGGCAGAGACAGGGAAAGGAAAAGTTCATTACAGGCACACCGAACATTCAAATATTTGTTGGTGTTTGTAGACAGCTTTTTGATATTTAGGGACACATAATTTATTGAGGTCTTTAATTTTCTGTTGCTTAAAAATCTCAGCTTTAAGGCTGGGACATGGTTTATTGTGATGTCAGTTCCTGAGCACTCCCTTAACCTCTGAGGGTTTGTCAGGGTTGCTGTCTGCTGGAGATTCCCAGGACATTGTCAGGACTGTGCACATTTTTTCCTGCTTTGCTCCTGTAAGATCCTGATGTGTTTTCAGCACTTTCTGTGCAGACCTGGTGGAGCTGACAGAAGTTTTAGGATCATTTTTCTGCAAAGCGTTTTGCCCTATTACCTGTGAGGGTGGGGAGGAACAGGGTGCCCCTGGATCCCTGGAAGTGTCCAAGTGTCCAAGGCCAGGCTGGACAGGGCTGGGAGCAGCCTGGGACAGTGGAAGGTGACCCTGCCATGGCAGGGAGTGGAATGAGACGGGGTTTAAGGTCCCTTCCAACCCAACCCATTCCATGCTTGTTGGATATTCGGGAGCACAGAGCCCTGGAGCTTGGGCAGGGCCAGGTGAGTTCCAGGTTGCATCAGCAGCACTTGGGGCACTCCTGAGCCAGGTGCAGTGGAGTGCACAGAGCTGGGAGCAGCTCCAGCTTTGCCAGGAGTGGCTGAAAGCAGGAGACAAAGTCTGAGTGTGTGCAGATGTGGGGCTTGGCCGCCGCCGCTGTTTGTAACGTTCTGTGGGATTTTCTTGGCAGGGGAAATGAGCGTTCAGCAAGCACAGCCCGAGCAGAGCAGTGGACAGGCTAACAATGCTCAGAGGAAGCAACCTTGGAACACTGAAAATATCTCATAAAAAAGCTCCCTTTGAGCAGCACACATGAGTAAACTGGAGTGGGAGAAGATGATGATGGGTTTTTTTTTTTTCTCTCTAAATAATTTTCAACATTTAGCTTTTTATTGACTTCTTTTCTATATTTAAATAGATATTTTGACTCATTCTGTTAAAGGTTTATTCAGGTTCCAGGAACATCTAATTCTCTTTCAGTGCTGCTTTTCTTGTGGAGAAGTAATTTACATTTTTGTGTATTGACTGTACTGAACACACATGATATTTGATTACAGGACAAAGCCGTAGTCAAAAAACCCCCAAAACAAATTAAACACTTTATTTTTGGGGCTGCAATTGCTCTGATGGAAGGAAGCTGTGAAGTGGTTCCCTCTGGAGAGATGGGACACCAAGGTGACATCAAACCTGACCAGGGCCATGCAGATCCTGCTTGTAGACTTTAATGATATCAATGTTAGTTGTACTCTGAGATTTCTGTGATTTTAAAGCAAAATCTGTTTACAGTTTTTACCTGGACCTGTTTGAAGTCCACATAAAATTCAGATACTTGGAGACCTTAAAGTTAAGGTGACTCTGTAAGTGACCACTTCCTTAATTAGGAATAATTACTCTATATAACATTTTTGTTGCAATATAATGTTTTTGTAATGGGGCCCTTTTCAAAACTCTTCAGACAGTGTCCTATAGTTGAATACTTATTTTCTGAGCAACTTTTGCATATAATTTGTAAATATGGTACTGCTGATGTGCCCAAGGGGACATTTCAGTCCCTCCTTCAGCATCAGGCTCTGTGATGCTGGATTAATTCCTCACCCAGCACAGCCCTGAACAGCCCAGCTGGATGTAACTCCCTGGGCATATTTTCATGCTGCATATGCAGGAATATCTGTGATTCACAGTATCTGTTCTGGCACTGGTGCAGATGAAGTCACACTGTTCAGCACTGGCAAAGACACACAAGATGAAGGGAAGGAATATGACATCTTCTGAGATGAAAGATACTCCAAGAGATACTTGATTAAAAGTACTGAGTTTCCCCTAAGCAGTTACTTCTGCTCCTGAAGTACAAGCATCTCATGCCTTCCATGAGTTCCCATGTCTGGGTCCTGTCTCTGCAGCTCTGCTTCTTCTCTGCCAACTCCACATTTCATTAACACCAAAAATGGTTCCATCTTTGTCCCTGAGACCTTCTGAGAACTGGATGCGATGGAACCTTTGATCTGACACCTTTCACTTCATTAACTTGGAGGCTGAAGCCACACTTGCAGATAACTTTGTTTGTGGGAGCTCTCAGAGGAGCTGTTTTCACACTCACTCCAGTGATTCCCTGGGTATTTACATCAGGGCAAATAGGTCAGCCATAAAACGTGGACGTGTATTCCTCCCAAGTGTAATGATCTCATTAAATTGTGTCTAATTATAATGCAGACCTGTTTGTTTCCTTGCTGAATGCAGGCAGGATCCCTACCAGTTGTAAATGTGCCATTTTTTTAAACTTGTTTTGAGTCTATTACATCAATTATTTAACTTAGGCCCCAGCTATGAATAATTTAAAGGGCCTCCAATTCTTACCAAGAAGAGTTGGATGTTACCCAAGTCTTAATTTTTTTCATTAGAATCCAAGAGCTGTTGTCTCTGATATTATCTCTCTGTTCCAGAGCAGCAATATTTTTATTGTTTTTGTTTTGTAGAGCCTGTGTACATTAAATTACATTTGGTCCTTGAACATTTCTGACACAGTGATAGTGATTCACCAGCTAATATTAATAAAAATGAGTGTAGTGCACTTGGCTTTGTTGGAGGAAACCTAGCAAAACCAGAAATGTGGTGCCAAAAGATCAAGTAAAAGCAAAACATGATGCCAAAAGATCAAGAAGAAATGTATTTCACAAAGAGGAAATATTTTAAATGTATATTAGCAGAAAAAATACGGATTATTTAATCTGTCTTGATGGTACCTTTCAACAAATCCTTTTAAAACCAGTTTCCTCTGGAGTGTGTCCCTTGTTGCACTGCTCCTTCTGATTCCTCCAA